AATATTTCATTGTTTATTTTTTGTCTTGTTGATCTATTTGTGACAGTGGGGTATTGAGGTCCCCCACTCCCATTGTATTAGTGCTTATATGACTTTTCATGTCCATTAGTATTTGTTTTATATAGTTGGTCGCAATAATGTTTGGTGTATATATATTAATGATTGTCATCTCTTCCTCTTGGATTGTTCCCTTTACAAAGATGTATCTCCTTCTTTGTCTCTCTTAATCACTGTTGGTTTGAAATCCACTTGATCTGCAAAAAGAAGAGCTACTCCTGCTTTTTTTCAGGTTCCTATCGCATGGAGTATTTTTTCCCACCTTTTAACTTTCAGTTTATCAGTTTCTTTTTGAATTAAGTGTTTTTCTTGTATGGAGCTATTGTTGGATCTTGCTTCTTGACCCATTCTACAAGTCTATTTCTTTTGATCGGTGAATTGAGACCCTGAATGTTGATGGTTATAGCTGATATGTATCGACTTTTCATTGTCATGACTTTTTGTTGGATTCTCCCCCTTTGCATTTAATTTCTTGTTGTGCCCGATGGATTCATTCTGCTGGGCTTCCTTGGGTTGTGATCCTCATTGTCTTTTCCTAGGATATCGTTTAAAATCCTTTGGAGTGCTGGTTTGTTATTCATGAAATTCCTGAGGTGCTCTTTGTCATGAAAGTATCTTATTTCTCCATCAATTTTGAAAGAGAGTTTTGCAGGGTGCATCAGTCTGGTTTAGAGGCTGTTTTCCTTTAGGGTTTGAAATATATCCCTCCATGGTCTTCTTGCCTTGTGGATTTGTGCTGAGAACTCTGCTGTGATTCCAGTGGGCTTTCCTTTATATGTGATTTGTTTCTTATCTCTAACTGCTTGTAGAATTTTTTTCTTCTGTTGGGTTTCTGGAATCTTAACTAGTATATGCCTATGTGCAGATTTTTTTTTGATCACGACTAGTTGGAGTCCTATATGCCTCACTGATCTCTATGTCAAGTTCTTTTCCAATATTTGGGAAGTTTTCTGCCATTACTTATGTGAATAGGTTTTTTATGTCTTCTGCACACTCTCCTGCTTCTTCATTGACTCCGATCAGTCTGATGTCATTCTTTGCATCTTCTAGAACCTGGTGAATTGATTCCTCATGGTCCCTTACTTTTTAAAGAAAAGTAAGCTTTTCTGGTCACTAATTGCAATCTTATCTTTTATATCTGAAATTCTGTCCTCGCATTGGAACATTCTGCTACATAAACTTTCAATGGAGTTTTTAATCTCCTGGAAATCTGTTTGCATCTGTTTTATGGATTCCATTGGTTTCCTATGTTGGGATTCCATCATGTTTCCCAGCTCCTCTTTTTGTTTTTACCTGTGTCCACTCTAGATTCATTAATCATGTGTTGCACTATGTGCACAATGTCTTCTGTTATCTGAGAAATTATTTTTGATATCATGTTTTCAGGTCCTCTTTCATTGCCATTTCTGGGAGTCCATTTGGTTGAGTATCAGATTGTTCCATCTTATTGCCCTTTTGGGTTGCCTTAGGTGATCTGGAAGTCTGGTTTTGAGACTTGTTTACGTGTCTTCTCATTTCAATATATGCAGCCTGCTGTGCCTTTGTTGAGGCGACTTTTTGCTCACCCAGTGGTCTTAAATTTTCAGCAAGCCACTGATGAGCCTTTACTCTGCTGCTCACCAGTGTACTAATTCCTGGGTTCAGAGTTGTGGCCTTCTGGATCCCTGACCTGACCTGTTGTCTGAGCGGGATGATGGCTGGGGCCTGTGCACACTTGTGATGGTATCTAGGTGTGCCTCTTGCTGGGTCCCCTATGTAGCTGTTTTCTGGGAGGGCCTTTGGCTGGGAGCTATGCACCCCAGTTCCTATTGTTTGTACAGGCTTTTGGCTGTGGTCTGCATGCACTTATCAATGGTATCAGTGTGAGTCTTTGGCTGTTACTTGTGTTCCTGTGTAGCTCTTTTCCAGGTCGGTCCTTGGCTGTGGCTTATGGTATGGCAGGCCTCTGGCTGAAGCTTGTGGGCCTGTGCAGTTCTTTTCTGGGTGGGCCTTTGGCTTGGGTGGGTGTTCCCAGGCCTCTGGCATTGGGGCAGAGACCTGGCTGGGATCTGCCCGCTGCCTCACTGGTCTGGTCCACTCAGCTGCTCCCCGGGATCTGCATGCACTTATTGATTGAATGGAATGCCTCTGGCTTAAGCTTGTGTTTCTGTGTAGTTCTTTTCTGAGTGGGCCTTTGGCTTGGGCTGGTGTGCCCAGGCCCCTGGGGTTGGGGCGGTGCCCTGGCTGGGATCCTCCTGCAGGTACACTGGTCTGGTCCACTTAGCTGCTCCCCAGGATCTGCGAGCACTTACTGGTGGAATGGTGGACCTCTGGCTCTATTTACAACAGTTTTTGAGCAGAGTTCTTAGTCTTTGAAATATTGTTAGGATTTATTGTAATAGTTTTCAAAGAAACTGTAGTCAGTGACAGTTTGATTCATCTCATATACATAGGTATTTCTGCCATAATACTATTTATGTCTTTGTATAATAGCCTGCCTCTCATAAAAATCCCTCAGGGTTTCCACAGACTCCACTAGATATCTATGTTGCTTTCTATCGTGGGTCCAACAAGACATTAATGAATACCTGAAAAGAAGACTTGTGCTGCTTGGGCATACCTGGTATAGTTGAATATTGCAAGTATTGCAGTGCACAGGACCAAGAGCCTGTGCTTAGCTTGGCTACCTGAACTTGCGTAGGGCAGCAGGTATTTGAGTGCACAGGTGGCTGCAGAGCCTTGGATAGTGACTGGTTTCATCAGGACAGAGGGTAGGTAACATGCCAGCATATTGTTGGGGACAGGCTCTGAGTTCAGGCACAGGTTTTAACAATTCTGAAAATATATCCAAAAGTATTCCTATGACCATCACAGCCCCTATATCTAGGACTTTTCCCTTTGTTTCTGAAGACCTTAATTCTCTACTCATTTCCCTGTGTGTCCTGGCCATGAAAAAGTGTATGGACCAAAATGACCTCCTTGTTATCCTATTTTCCTATTCATAGATATCTGTGTGGCCAATCAATTGTGTGTTCATTTCCTTGTCACCCTTCCTTAGATACTTATTTTCATACCTTCATACCCTTGCTCCTTATGACCAGTGCCAGCTTAACATTGGATGTACTCATAGGCTCCCCCAATCCCATGTTCTTCCTTGCCTTGAGAGTACCAAGACAAGGTCATACCTTGAGAAACAGTTTTCCAGGGCAGTGCACTGGGAAGCACATAACTCATCATGTGGACCCATACTATTGGCAATTAGATAAAAGGAAGGAAAGTTTGGGGTTGTGCAAGAAGTTAATGAAGCAAAAGTGAGAGGGAGAATGAAAGGGAAACAAAATTAAAGTATAAAAATTTAGCGCTATGTAAATATTAGTTTTTATTATTCCCTGTCAACCATTTGGATAAAGTGGTAGAGAAACTCATTTTAGTGTTTATTTTCACAAAGGTAGTAGGTTAGATACTTTGTTATTTTTACTAAATTAATTTTTTAAATTAAAAAGCACAAAGTAAGAGAAAAACATAATTGCGTGTATCACCTAGAATTAATAACACATGTTAATCTTTTGCCTTTTTGGTTCACATATTTTAAAAATGAAAACAGTATGACAGATAAATTTGAACTCCTCTGGTTTCCTTCCTGAGTCAGTCTTCTTTCCACAGACAGCATCTATTCTGGTTTTTCTTCTGTCCTTCTATTCCATATTTTATACTTATGTGACATATGTGTCCATAAACAATATTGTATTGATTTTTGTGGCTTTGCTTTTTGTCCTTGTTTTTTCCTAGTACTGGGGATTGAATCCAGTGTCTTCACAATGAACTACATCCCTGGCTGGTCCTTTTTATTTATATTTTTGATGCTGAGACAGGGTCTCACTAAATAGCTAAGTTGACAGTTGTCCAGGCTAGACTTAAACTTATGATCCTCCTACCTCAGCCTCTCAGAGTACTGGGCAAACAGGGGTGCACCACCATCCCTGACTGTTTTTGTTTTTCAATTTCATTATATATATGTATCTTGTTTAGCCTCTCTTGTTTTTGAGATTTCTCCATCTGATATGCTCAGGTCTGGTTCAGTCACCGGAAGTGCTCTGAAGTATACTGTGATGTGAACACACCATCCTCCTCATTTAATTTGGGTCTTAACAATGCTAAGATGTGTCCTTGTTTAGGTCTTTTGATGCATATGGTTTCTGGGTCATGCCTAGGGTTTGTGGGCTATAGACTATATACACTCTCACCTTTATTTATCTCTTAATTCTTACAAATGTTCACTGGGGCAGGTTGCATGCTCTCCATTTAACACATGAGAAAACTGAGAAACTAAAATGCTATGTAGTTCGACCAATCTTGTAAGGGGGACAGTATTTGAATCCATATTGAATTTCACCCATTTAAATCCAGGGCCCTAATATCCAAATAATACCCAATAGTTCATGTAGATCCTCAACTTTTAACCTTTATGATTATTAGAAGAGTTGTAGCCAGTTGGTGTTTCTGTGTGTGTGTGTGTGTGTGTGTGTGTGTGTGTGTGTGTGTTTCCCTCAAAAGCAGAGAATCAGAGGAGGTGATGAGAAGGGAGCATGTAAGAAAGACCAACAGTAGCCATACTCCCTTCGTTGTGGTCACTAAAAGAGTTCAAGTTTGGGAGTAAAAATATGCTTCATGAAATGATGGGTCCTAGGTTTCCACATACACAAGACTATTTTTTCATGATAAATGACTATTTTATGTTGTTTAACATGCCTATATTAATGCAACATGCAGGCATTTTTTGATTAAAGAAAGATGTTATAGTGAGCATGATAGTCTGTATTTTACTTTGCAAAGTTTGTAGACCATTTTTTCCGAGTTAAGAAAGCATCTGAATGTGAATCTTTTTATTCATAATACTTTATTCACTCATGAAGCATGTCATTTTGGACTTTGTTTTTAATTTTGTTCTTTTCTTCAACTTCTAGGTAGAAAATCTGGTATATTAATTGTGAAAATTCTAGAGCTACATGAGGAATGCACCATGCAAGTTGCCACGTGTGAGCAGTTATCAGGCCCACCATCCCCCATCCCTTCCCAAGGTGTGACCCCTGGGCCTGGAGCCAATCTAAAGGTTCTCTTTACTCGGGAGACTGCAGGCTACCTCCAGGGGCATCCCCAGGACATCATCCATATTTTCCCTCCCTGGTAAGTGCAAAGAACTAAGTCCAGCAGTCACCAATAGTGTGTCTCACAAGAAAAGCCTTTTTAAAATAATCAAGAACATTTTTGTCACTTTATTGTAGAGAAATGCCAAGGGAGAAAGCCAGGAATTTACACAGGTTTTCTGTAACACAAGCACTGAATTGTCTTTGATGGCTTGTTTGTACTTCTGGCAGTAAAGGTTGATAATTTAAGGCAGGGGGGATGGGAAACAACTGCATCATGATTCTTGCCAAAGGGGTGTGTTGTTTTGAGATCTGTCTGTTTTTGTTTTTATCTTTCCTAAAAAATGCTTTTTAGTAAGAGGCAATAAGTGACAAGGGTAATACATAATAAGTTAGTAAGTTTTTGGTAGTCACTTAAGGATAAAAAGCATAAATTAAGACATAATATGGTTTGAACTTTAGGAAGGTTAATGTTCACTGTTAGATCAGAAATTATTTTCAGCAATATAATATTTGCCTTTTTTGCATGTGATACTAATTTCCACCATGAATAGAAAAAAACCTTTTCTTCTGAAAGAAAATTTGAAGTCTTGTTTTAAGAACTAATTATTAATTTTTTGACAATGTTTAATGTTTCATTCATTTGAGAAATCTTTAGATTTGAAATTAATAAAAGATTTTTAAAATTAAATTTTCTTCTAGAGGAGGGATCTCTTTAGAGTGTCTATAGCACGTGATCATCACTTCTTGGTTTCTGCAGTTATGTCCACAGGGTTCTTCAGTGGGTGTGGGCTTCCTAAGAACACTGTCTTCTTGTTTGCTTACCCTCTTAGCTACATTCCTCCTTTTTCTCTTTTTTGGCTATTTTTCAATTTCATTCTTTGAGTATTTTTTTGCTCCATAATTGGAGTATAGGCTAAAAAATGAGAGTGACAGAAAATTCTGTATTTGCCCTAAAAATATGTTAAGTCCTTATTGTTTTTATACAACATGTCATCCAGTAGAAATAGATTTTGCTCTCTAGGAAGACAAACCTGCTATGCTTATATTAATGAAGCCATATGGTACCAAGTATTAATGCTATTTTTAGGAATTTTAGCAAACATATAGAAGTGAAAATATCTGAAGTAGAAGTAATTTCATAAATTTCTCTGGAGTCATTTGACCTAACTTTCTCAAAATGACCACTTCAAAAAAGGAAACAAATATAAATATAGTTAATAAATATAAGTATATGAGAGAAGTTTATTCTTTTTAAATTTTAATTAGTACATGTTTATAGTACATAATGATTACATTCATTCTGGGGAATTGCCACATGTATATAACATCTCAATTCTTTCTTTTTTCTTCTTCCCCTGCAACCCCTTTTAAAAATATTTTTATTTTTATTTTTTTGCCAGCATCAGATTATTTATAAGTTCTTTTCAAATGAACTATCATAAATACAGATTAACAGCCAGGCCTACAGGCTAAAGAAACATAAAACATATAAGACAGTTATGCTAAATCAAGGTACATTTTCAGATACATTGTCTATGAAGGATTATATTAACTTTTTAATTTCTTTTTTTCCCTATAAAATTTTGTTTTGCACTTCATTTATATACTGAGCTTCTCATATGAGAGAAACCATGTGATATTGAAGCTTGTGTGTCTGATTTACTTTATTTAACATTATGGTTTCAAAGTACATCCATTTTCCTAAAAATGACTCTAGTTTATCCTTTTTAAGGCAGGGTAGTACTCCATTGTGTTTAAATACCATATTTTATTTATCCATTTATTTATTTTTATATTTTGATACTGGGGATTGAACTCAGGACCTTGCGCTTGCGAGGCAGACACAGCACCACTGAAGTAAATCCCTATCCTAAATTCTGAGTATTCCATAGGCACCAAATGAACGCTTGTCTTTTTTTTTTTTTTTTGGTACTGGGCATTGGGCTCAGGACCTTGTGCTTGAGCCAAGCGGCAGCATCACTGAGCTAAGTCCCTGGCCCTCCATTCATTTATTGATGGATATATGGGTTGATTCCAAGATTTAGGTATTATGAATTGTGCTGCTATAAACTTGGGTATGCATGTATCACTGTAGTATGATGTCTTTTGACTCCTTTGGAGAAGACATGTGGAAGGGAAATAGCTGGACCAAATGGAGGCAAGAGGATCACCACAAGTTTGAGGCCAGCCTGAGCTACATAGTAAGCTCAAAGTGAGCCTGAACTACATAGAAAAACCCTGTCTCAAAGAAAAACCAATAAATATAAAGTATTGGAGATATAGCTGCATGGTAGAATGTCCCTGGGTTTGATCTCCAGTACCACAAAAGAAAAAAAAAATCAATAAATGGAATTATATCAAATTAAAAAGCTTCTTTCTGCCTGCAAGATAAAATAGGTAAAGCTCTTGAAGTCCTACACATAGGCAAGAACTTTCTGAACAGAATTCCTACACAGGAATAGGTACCAAGAATCAATAAAGGGGATTATATCAAATTAAAAACCTTTGGCAAAAGAACAACCTCCCTCCTCCTCTCCCTCCCCCTTCCCCCCTCTCTCCCCTCCCTCCTCCCCCCTCCCTCCCTTCCCCTCCCTTCCCCTCCCTTCCCCTCCCTTCCTTCCTCCCTTCCTTCCTTCCTTCTTTCCTTCTTTCCTTCTTTCCTTCTTTATCTGGTTTTACTATCAGAGTTATGTTTTCTTCATAGAATGAGTTTCGAAGCATTCCTTCCTTTTCTATTACATGGGAACGTTTGAAGAGTTTTGATGTTAGCTCTTCCCTAAAGGTCTGATAAAATCTGTTCATGTAATTTCTGTTTCTTTTTGCTATTGATTTCTAGTTTCATTCTAGTGTTATCTTATAGGATGCATGAATAATTTCAATTGTTTTGTATTTATTGAGACTTCCTTTATGGAGTAAAATATGGTCTACAGTCAACCCCTTAAGAACCAGCTCCATTCTGGGAGAATTGTTTGGAGGTGGATTCATTCATAAGCCAACAAAGTGAATCTTATACAGTATGTCTGTGAAAGTTCACACCTCAAATGTTCTTAAGTTGGGGACTTACTGTATTCTGGAGAATGTTCCATAGACTGCTGAAAAGAATGTATGTTTTGCTGTTGTTGATGAAACCCTCTGTAGATATCTGTTAAATCTATTTCATGTATAGTATGGCTTAACTCTGATGTTTATGTTTTCTGATGTTTATGTTTCTGTTTGTTTGGTTAATTGGTTGACCTATCTACTTGTGAGAGTGGGTATTGAAATTTGCCATTTTGATTATATTTGGGTCTATATGTACTTTTATTTCAAGATGTATTTTTTTAATGAAATTGGGTATGCTGATGTTTAGTGCATATCTATTTATAATTTTCATCTCTTCTTGGTGATTTTTTTCCCTTTACCATTATGTAGTGGTCTTCTTTGTCTCTTCTAACCAGGTTTGGTTGGGGCTCAACTTTGTCTAATATAAGTATAGCTATTTTTGCTAGTTTGGGGGCTCTACTTGATTGGCATATCATTCTCTTTCCTTTCATTTTCAGTATATGTATACATTTACAGATGAAGTGTGTCTCTTGCAACATATAGATGGGTCTTGTGTTTTGATACAGTCTGCCAGTCAGTGTATTTTAATTGGAGGTTAGACCATTTATGTTATGTTATTATTGAAAGGTATGTACTAATTCCCATTATTGTTTTTCCGGTGTGTGATTCATTTATTTCTCATTCATTTACTCTCCCAGTGAGATTTATTCTTTCTCTCAAAGTTGTTGTTGACCTCATCATCTCTGGTTTGGATTCCCTTTATTATTTTCTCCATTGTGGTCTTGGTGGTCATGAATATTTGTAGGCCTTTATTCTTCAATTTTCAATGATAGCCTTGTAGGATATAGTAATCTAGATTGTCAGTTATTTTTTTTTAGGGCTTGAAAAATTTTATTCCACGCCCTCCTGGTCTTTAAGTTTTGTGTGAACAAATCTGCTGTTACTCTGATGAGTTTGCCCTATAAGTGATTTAGTGCTTCTGACTGCTTTTAATAGTCTTTGTTCTGGGCTTTTGGCGTTTTGACTATGATATGACATGGGAAGGTTCTTTTCTGATGATTTCTATTTAGGGTTCTAAATGCTTCCTTTACCTGGGTATCCATCTCATTCTACAGAATTGGGAAATTTTCTATTATAATTTTAAGGAATAGATTTTTTTTATGCCAATAGCCTGTACTTCAACAACCTCTGTGTACAATGATTGTTAATTCTTTTAGAGTTATCTAGGAGCTCTTTCATAATCTTTACCTTGTTTCTTGTTCATTTTTCATTATTAGTTACTGAATGTTTTAGTAAGTCCATCTTGTCTTCAACTCTTGATATCATTTCTTCTGATTTATCTTGCTAGACTTTCAATTGAAATTTTTATTTGCCTCATTGAGGTTTTATTTTCCAGGATTTATATTTGGTTCTTTTTCAGAACTTCTATCTCTTTACTGAAATGGTCTTTTATATCCTATGTTGTCCTCCTTAATCCATTCAGCTGCTTACTTTTTCTCTTTTTTGAGCTCATTGATCATTCTAACTATTAGTTTTTTAAACTGTGAAATTTCATGTACTTGAGTACCTGTGGGTTTGAATTTTGGGAATTATGAATTTTTGGAGGTATCTTGCCTTGTTTTCTCATGTTTCTCCTGTTTTTGTGTTGAAGTTTATAGACCAGTTGGGATGAAAAGATCTATGACTATTGAGATCTCTTTAGTAAGTGGCACTGTACTGCAGAGAGAACAACAACTAGTAATATCAATATCCAAAGAACCAACTATATATCAACATATAATTTAAAATATGTTTTAAAAGTTCCCTACTCTTTACTAACCCAGGAAAATAAAGTATAGTAATACTATAGGACAGGCTAGGAAAAAGGAGATTTAAAAAAGAAAGAAAAAATTAAGAAAAATTGAAAAAAACTTTAAAAAGAAAGAAACAGGTTTTAAAAATTTATTTATTTATTGGTATGGGGGATTGAACTCCGGTCCTTGTGGTTGCAGGGCA